TCAGTGATCAAGCTGCTACAGTTGCTGTATGAAACAAGAAGTAACAACAAAAGGAGAATGTAAATATACTTTACTAACCATTTTATACAACAGAATATTAAAACTTATCAAAGTTTTTTAAAAAGGTTTGACGTTAGGTCGTAGAATAACATTATAAATTTATTTATCGATAGTATTAAGTACAGTAAAGTTTAGTCATAACTAAACTAAAGTAAAAAACGTACACAGGTTACAGTGTTAATTCATCTCTTTATCGAGCTTAGGCCTAACATAAGTTAAAGTTTTATGAAGTACGGCCTTTTTACAAGTGGATTTACACATTTCGTTGTCTACGATTACAATTCGTTTGTGTTGTGCTAGAAATGTTATATTTAAAAAAGTACTGTTACGATAAAGATATAATTTGGCCGGAAATGTTTTTGCGAGTCTGTGATAGTGAATTATAAATATTAATATGGAATTACTACGATACTTCTAAGATTTTCTATTATTACATAACACGTTATTTTTCAGTTTTACAACAGCATAAAGTTCTCTTTGGTATATACGTATATATATTTTTACGAAATGACAACTTTTATATACTTCCCACTAAACTTCAGATTTCTGATTTATTCTAACCGATGAACATACTCTGATTTATTCTACCCAATGAACATATTTTGATTTATTCTACCCAATGAACGTACTCTGATTTATTCTACCTGATAAACATACTCTGATTTATTCTACCTGATAAACGTACTCTGATTTATTCTACCCAATGAACATATTTTGATTTATTCTACCTGATGAACGTACTCTGATTTATTCTACCCAATGAACATACTTTGATTTATTCTACCTGATGAACATATTTTGATTTATTCTACCTGATGAACATATTTTGATTTATTCTACCCAATGAACATACTTTGATTTATTCTACCTGATAAACGTACTCTGATTTATTCTACCCAATGAACATGCTTTGATTTATTCTACCTGATAAACATACTCTGATTTATTCTAC